TCAACGCCCCGGCTGTGTGACCTTGGGCAAGAACCACCTCTCTCTGTTCCGGTGCCTGCACCCCAAGGGGACAGAGCTCTGCTCTGCCGTCTCCCAGGACAGCTGCCCGGGTGCTGGGGAGGGCCCCGTGGTGGTGGTGGGGGGGAGACTTTGTAGGTCACAGAGGGATGCCTGGGCCCGAGTCACTGATTTCCTGTTGTCTCGGACACTCTGGTTGTACCCTTGTCTGCTTGGGCAGGAATCCATCTTCCATCCATTAATACATCCTATCTCCATCCATCCATCTGTGCATCCGTCTATCCATCCATCCACCCATCATCCATCCATTGATACATCTGTCCTATCTACCTATCTATCTATCCATCTGCCCATCCTCTCCATCCATCCATCATCCATCCATTGATACATCTGTCCTATCTACCTATCCATCTATCCATCTGCCCATCCTCTCCATCCATCCATCCATCATCCATCCATTGATACTTCTTATCTGTCTATCCATCCATCTGTCCATCCTCTCTATCCATCCATCCATCATCCATCCATTGATACTTATCTATCTATCCATCTGTCCATACCATCCATCCATCCATCCTCCATTCATTGGATACATCTTATCCTATCTATGTATCTATGTATCCATCCATCCATCCATCCATCCATCTGTCTGTCCTATCTATCCATCCATCCATCCATCCATCATCTACCCATTGATACATCTTATCTATCTATCCATCCATCCACCCATCCATCTTTCCTATCTATCCATTCATCCATCCATCATCCATCCATTGATACATCTTATCTATCTATCTATCTGTCTATCTATCTATCTATCTATCTATCCATCTATCCATCCTCTCTATCCATCCATCATCCATCCATTGATACACTTTATCTATCTATCTATCTATCTATCTGTCTGTCTGTCTGTCTATCCATCCATCCATCCATCATCTATCATCAATCCATCCATCATGCATCCATTGATACATCTTATCCTGTCTACCCATCTCATCTATCTTTTATCTGTCTATTTGCATCTATCCGTCTGCCTATCTGTCCACCCGTCTTATCTATGCATCTGTCCATCCACCTCTTATCTAACCATCGCCAATTCATCATCGATCATGTATCTTCTGGCACCCATCTGGGTCTGTCCATCTTCTCTATCCATCATCCATCCACTTCTATCTTCTATGATCTATCAATGTCATCCATCTATCCATCCACCCACCCACCTTATCTATCTATCCAT